ATATATATTTTAAATTTGAAAATTGTGTTTGTATTCATCCCCCCCTTCTACAAACTGTTTAGTATTCTTGTAGACCCTTTTGGGACCAACAATATGACATGCTTTCATTGGAACCCTAGGTTCGCTTAATGATATTAATATGCTTCATCAATCTCCTGTTTTTAATGATGTATTGGCAGGTCGATCACCAAAACTTAGTTATATCGTGAATGGTCATGAAAATGATATGACATATTATCTCACTAATGGCATATATCCTTAATGAGCTGCATTTGTCAAGTCAATTACATCTCCCTAAACGCGGAAGCACAAGTTTTTTGCTCAAGTTCAAGAGGCATGGCATGCAAAAAAGATGTTGAGCAAACATTTGAAGTTCTACAAGCTCGTTTTGCATTTATTCGATGACCATGTCTTTTTTGGGACAAACAAATAAGAGGACGAATTATGATAGTTTGTATCATCATGCATAATATGATAGTTGAAGACGAACGAAATACATATCAAAATTATTATGATCCTATTGAGTTTCTTAACGACATACCAACAAATCGACAACAAGGAAGTGCTACAGAAGATAATGGTCAATCAACTGAATTTTCTACTGAACAGATTTCAAATCTATCTTGTTATATGGCTAACAAAGAACAACTTCGCAATAGGGATTCCACTCATAAAGCTCTATAAAATGATTTGATTGAACTTATATGGTAAAAATTCGGTCATGATAATTAACTACGATGATTTATGTATTTCAGATATATAATTTCGTATTTATTTTTGTGACTTGTTTTATTTAATTTCAATTGTATGGTAAATTTTTTTTATAATTATAATCACGTTTTAAAATATATAATGGCCCGTTTATTCTATTCTTATACTTATACTTAAAATTAAAAATTAATAATTATATATAAACAATTAAATATATGATTTTTACAAAATAATAATTTAGATTAGATTAGATTGAAGAGGATTGTGGTTAAATGAAAAAAGAAGTAAGATTGGATTGAAATTGAAGATTGTATAGGTGGACGAGAGAGAAATTAATGTTTTAGTTGAGATTGAAATGATTGTGAGTAAAGATAGTCTAATATTATCTTTACTCATGGTCGGAGCAATCTGGCCATATGTAAGACACAATTTTTTAAAGAAAAAGAAAATAAGTGACCAGTCTATACCAATACCTCTCATCTCACGAACCCGGATTGCAAAATTTTTATCCCTATCTTTATGCCACATGTCACTCTTTGATTGGTTAACTTAGATTTCTATTTTTAAAACTTATTTGATTAAAAAAATGACTTTAACAAGAAAATTAAAAAAATAATAAATATACCAAAATTCATGGTCTTCAATTCTCTACAAAGAGAACCCAATATTGACAATTTAATTTTCTTCACACCAATATTTCTCTTCATTTCAATCCTCTTATTATCTTTGCAAATTTCAAAAAAATTTCAGTTTCTTTCAGTTATTTGTTATGGATCTAAACTTCCCCCCAAAAAAATTAAACTCTCAACATCCTAATAACTTTCAGTATCACCCAAACACATACAGTATGAAAACTCTGAGTTTTTCATCTATGATAATCAAGTTCCTACTCTTGAAAATACCCAAACATTGGAAAAGAGTTCAAGAACCGATAAATAGGAAACCAAAGAAGATATGGTGTTGATGTCAGCATGGATCTACGTTAGTGAAGAACCTACTTGAGGCAAAAACCAGAAGAAACAGTCATTTTGGTCTTGAGTGAAATATGACGAAACTCGAGCAAAAAATGTAGAAGGACTGGGACGAAAGTTCATACAAATGGATTGTTGTGTACATAGAAACATATCGACAGAAAAGGAGCGGAATGAGTATTGAAAAAGAGGCTCATGCAATTTATGAGATGGGTGGGAACAAGTTTAATGACTTTTGAGTAAAGATAGTCTAAACCCTTCTCCCTTTTCTCACTCTATGTTCATTCGTCTGCGCACAAGGACGACGATACTGTTATAAAGGTGTTGTAAATTGTTCTCTCGATTATATTTCTATTGATCATGATATAATGCTCAATGATTCTTCGTTAGATTTTAGTTTCTCTCTTTCTCTATCTATATGTTTATGAGATTGAAATGTATTTATGTTATTGCATCATTGTATGCGACTTAGATTAAAAAAAATTGCATTTATTTCGTTTGGATTTACATTATGATTCTTGTGGTTATAGTTTTCCAACGAAATAGATGCGATCACAAAGAAGTGATGTTACCAAAATATTATATGGGATTTGATTTTTCAGGGTTTTTGCTTGGATGTAATTTGGTTTATGAATGTTTTAGTGGAATTTATATATTGATTCTTCACCGGAGTTTTGAACTTTTGATTTATACTTACCTTTGTATGAATTTATCGTCTCTCTTTATGCCTCTCTGTAAGATTTTAACCCCTATATATAGGAATATAGGATCATTAATATATTTCTATGTTTTGGCATCATAACATTGTAGATTCAAAGTGATAGTTGTGGTATGACTATGGTCTATGGATGCATTAAGATGTTATAGAACAACAAGCAACATATTTATGATGTTTTTAGACACTCAATAAGTGGAATTTTTGCCCTGAAGCCATCAATTATGTAATGTTTTCAATTTAATGATGGGTTATGATGTTAATCTGGGAATGCTAAGCAGATCATGTTGATTCCTCTGTTCTTTCTTTTATTTATTGTCTTATAGTATCCTTTACAATAAATTGGACAAGAACTTTTAAGTTCCAGTAACATGTCCAGTGTCATGTTGTTAGTCTTGGGATTCCAATTAAAGACTATCATCTCTTGGTTCCTCTCTAGAATAATTCACCTAGGTTCCTTTTATATTGTACTTATCATGGTTATTTGAGATCCATTAGCTATCCCCATCAGGATTTTGAACTAGTCAATTGATTTCGGTATATATTGTGCTTCTACCTGTTCCTTTCTACCTCTGCTTTTGGGGTTTGGAGTTGTGGTATTGTCTCTATTTTCATCTGACTTTTTGCTATTAACCACTATTTCTTGTCATTGGGTGCTCCTTATTCATTGTTTACTTGGCATCCAATCCTCGTTTAGACTGGAATATGATTTTTCTCTTTTGGCAGTTGAATAGAAATATGGCCAAAATTAGGTTGACGAAAAGAGTTAAAGCTGTTATAGCAACAAGAATTCTTGCTTGTAATACTCTCTACAATGATGAAGGAGGTCAGAGAGCCATTATATTCACTTGCTTAGTCGGGGGTGAAGGACAAGTTAAAATTTTGTTTCTTATGTTTTAGTGATAGAGTTTTCTATGCCTTGTGAATTTTTCTAGTTCCTACAAGAGTATTTGTACTGTATCGTATTTTTTGAAGAAGTCTGTAGCACTTTATAGCTACATGTTTCTAGTCCCAAATTTTTACCCTTTCTTAATAGCAATCATTCCTTCTCTTTTACAGTTCATTCTAAAAGCTCGTGCATAAGTTCTGGTTTTTGTTGTTCTCCTTGCTTATGAGTAATATTTAATCCTTAGCAGTTAATACTTTTACAAAGATATTTCAGCCAAGTCCTTCACATTAGTGTCCTTAGAGGTGGGCTCTATGTGGTTGCTGGTAATCAACCTTTTGCCCAAATACATTTACTATTTCAGCAGAGTTCCAAAGATTTGGTCATGAATATGATGTTGTATTTGCTCATTTAACATGAATTGTCATATGCTTGCTTTATTTGGCCTTTGTATTTCCCTTGCATTGCAATGAGTTTGTGTTGAGATCATTAAAACAAAAAACCTTTTGACCAAAACTAGTATTTTTATGGTTTTCTATTTCATGATTAATTTCATTTATAAATGATAATATGACCAGGTTTATCCTAAAGGAACACATATAGTTATCCCTTGGTTGGAGAGGCCTATCATTTATGATGTTCGTGCACGTCCACATCCACATCCACATCTTGTCGAGAGTACTTCAGGGAGTCGTGACCTTCAAATGGTAAGTTATGCTTATAATATCCATAAATATGGTAAATCAGATTAGATGCTAACCAATTGTATTGATGCCAAACTCTAATAGACCACTTGGAATCTCGTTTTTCTTTCTATCTATGAAAAATTGAGTTCCACCACATTGAGGAAGGAAGACACTCACATTTCTGAAACACTTTAGCTAGGTTAACATGTATGTATGTATCTGTAACATGGCAATCGGGTGATTTTGAACATGGACTGACCGACTACTTCCTTCCATGCCATCTCCTCATTATGAATGGAAGTAAAACAACTTAAATTGCTAATTTAAACAACAAAAAGACTCAACGTAGATGCAGAAATATAAGTAGATCACTGATGACCAAAGTAGAAAGGGCACACAGAAAGCAGAATAGGTAACATGCTTGGCCACTGTCATCTCTTTTCTTTTGAAAGCCACCAAGAATCCGGAAGAGGTACGAGTTATTCCCAATACTTTCACATCACGCCAACTAATTCCCTACCAACTGTCTGTATCAGATGCTATTCTTTTGTTAAGAATTCCTAAAACAAATGTAATGTACTACTCTATTTATACTAAAAGGGTGTTTGAGATTGCTTATAAAAACAATTTATTGACTTATTTCGGTGTAGTACCGGTAATAAACACTTTTGAGTGTTTGGATAAACAATTTATACCGGTGCCAAACCGGTAATAAATAGTTTTTGAAGAATTTAGACCCTTCTGACTTATAATAAGTTGATAAGTACTTTTGTAGAAAATTATAAGTTGTTTCAATTAAACGTATCTATTATCTAAAAATAATCACAACATAAAGAATGTGTGACGAGAGACATAACATGTTGATCTAAATGATGGAAATATTGTATAGATTTAAAATTAATCTTATCCTTAGTCAATAATTCTTTCCCAGAATAAATAAATAAATGAATAAATGGTTTAACTTGTTTAAAAACTCCATATTATTGGTTTGGTATCTATATAAATTGTTTATCTAAACATTTAAAAATGCTTATTACCAATGTCATACCAAAATAAATTAATAAGTTGTTTTTATAAACAATCCCAAACACCCCTCAATTTGAACAAACGATACTAGTAAAATTAGGGTTTGAAAACTGAAAATGAAATTGCAATTTGAATTGAAATTGAAATTGAAAACAGATTCTCTTTGTTTTTTCTCCTCCCAGTTGTATTGACGATGACAGTAGGTGAAAGTCGGTGGTAGACGACATGTGACGGCGATAAGGATGATTGCGACGATTTCTTGGTTGTTTGTTTGTTTGTTTAATTTGAGAAGATATTGTTCATTCGTCGCTCTCTCCCACTTTTTCTTATGAAAATGTTGGATCTTATATTGTTTTGGTTCAATTTGTCTATCAGGTATCCAAACGATGGTTCATTGATCTCGAAGCTGTTCATCTTCTGAAAATTATAAGTTTAGGTGATAATGCATTGGAGAAGAAGAAGAAGAAGAAGAAGGTGGGGCAAAGAGTAAGAGGGCCGGAGGCACAACACGATTCAAATCTTTCTCAGCTGATCATTCTTTTGTTTACATCAGGTGATGGTTAATTTAGATGTCTTTTAAGCGTTCGATGAAATGCCTGAATGGAATACCACTTCTTTACCATCGTCAATTTCAATTAACCACTAGAGTAAAGCAAATGATTCTTCTCTAAAGGGAATGGATTTCTTGTTTTCTTTGCGTAACTATGTGTTCGATGAAATGCCTGAATGATATTCATTTTTCTAACAGGAATGAAGTTCTTAAAGAATGTGAGCAAGATTCTTGCTTTTTCAATTGTGTTTCCTTTTTGTTCTTATATGAATGGATCGGCATTTTCCGACATAGGTAGCTGCATGTAACAATAACTTGTATTGCTCTGGATGTTTTACAAATTAACAGCATTAACTGGTGCTGATCGGAAACCCAATTCCGTGGCGTTTTGTAGGGAAAACAACAAACAGCATACTGCAAATAACTCCAAATCCGACGGGTAGTGTAGCAAGAAGCTCTTGCGTTTCTTCTGATGGTGACGGATAAAAGCAATTCACAACATCTTGATTAAATAGACTCACCGCTGCAAAAACCATAATTGACATGAAGGCATGCATGAAATCTATGAATTTCAGCCTGTACTTAGCTGCAAGTTCTGGTGGTAATGTTGTCGACCCATCAATAACCCACAACCCACGGGTTGTGGTGAACCCATAACATACATTACCCTCTCGATCCTTGAAGCTATCAGTGAAACTCAACAAAATACACGAAAGCCCACAAAGACCTACTAGCCCAGCGGTCAAACCCCGGGTAACTGGGTCGCACTCGCCCTGGTTCGTGAATATGGGTGAAAGCAGTTGAAAAGCAAGAACCGAACCAGTGGGCAAAAGATTTGCTAAGTGAGCCGTGCTTTCAAATGTTTGACTAATGGCTTTTTGTATCAGGGTTTTCTCTGTGGGTTCGGGAAGAAGCATGTTTCCAAGGAGAGGAGCTTGTTCGTCTTTGATATTTTGAGGTACCGCCCCATTTTCGACCTTAATCTCCATAACCATTGAATCTTGATTAGCTTTATTTGATACTATGAGTTGTTAATGTTGGATTGTTGAATTTATACATGAGTAATGGTTTTAATTGTATTGAGTAGGACAAAAGGAAGAGTTGCTAAAGAGTGTTCATATCTTACAATACCTTGCAAGAAACAGAAACCAAAAATTAAAGCAGATTTCACCTGAATTTCCACATGGGGTTTTGCTTTAAAGCTAGTTTGTTAAGCCCTTGCACAAACTTCAATAAAGGGTAATTCCCTTTTTGGCTTATCGGGTTTGGTTTGATATAATGGTTTTGAAGGATTTAGATGTTCCTTGAAAGATTTGAAATCTTTTGTATGTTTGATTTATAAGCAATAACCTTCGGTGTATATCCCTTATCTGATATACATATAAGTACAACCTTCAATGTGTATGGTACGAGTTGTTATAATGGTGTGGGCTAATTGCACCCTTATTATTTGCTAAATGCATTCCTATTTTTGTTATTTAGTCTTTTTTATGTTTATAACATCTGTACTATATTATAAAGTATTTGATAAAAACTTTTCAAAACTATTTTTTATGCATTAAGTATTGTGTATTGATGCACATTACTTAAAATTCAAGATTACAAGTAAATTATGTATAACTATAACTTATTAAAGCTTCATCTTTGAATTCGTGTAACTAACTGCAGATAAACATAATCAAATTAAGGATAAACATCTCGTTTTAAAAATAAAAACCTAAAATATAATTAAGATAATCATTAAGTTCTAATAAAATACTTAATTATTGTTCTTATAAAAAATTATATTATTAAATTAAAAATAAATTAATTCATTATTAAATCTAAATTAAATTATAATTAAAAAGTTAAATTAAAGAAATTACATAAAAAAACAAAAACTTATAAATAATTAATTTGATACTGATGTTGATATATTTATTTTCGAAGTTTTATGATATCTTCAAATTTATATTTTTTTTTCAAAAATAAAAACATTATCTTTTTCTTTGAAGCACATAAAAACTGTATTATAACATCTACAGAGACAGAACGAAACATTAAGATCAAGATATATCTCGGTGCATGGCGCGAGTACCCTTCTAATAATATATAAAGATATTATTATTGTATTATTATTTTCTTAAATGTTAATTTAGTAGATATTGTATTTGTTTTTTTTTTTTTTTTTGAAAGGGTATCCGAGCCGAAGCTCGACTAATCCCAGACACATCCAGGGCTAAAGCATGCCCCTTTAGTAAATGTCGCACAAGATGTGCGTAGAGGGATTCGAACCCGTGTTCAGCGCTCTGAACTGCCCAGACACTAACCACTCCACCACAACACTGATTGACTTGTATTTGTTTTTTATAACTAGTTTTATTTAATTGTGAATAAATTATATCAAAAAAATGGTTTTTTAATAATACATAAGTTATAAATAAATTAAAAGAATTGTAAATAACCGTGTGAGTGACATAAGATTAAATAATTATTCTTTTTACAATTTATTACTTTTAATTGCTTTTATTTTTATTTATTCATAATTTTTTAATTATATCGTTTTTAACATATTAAAATAACTCCCGAAATAAAGGTGAATGTTATCGTTAATTATGGTTTGTATGCATTCCATCCCTACTAAGGGGTTGTTTACCAAATGCTTATCCGGATAAGTGTTTACCAAGTTAAGTTACCTTACTGTAATATGACAATGACAAAAAATCTTATCCGGTAAGAGCGAACCAAGGACCGAGAGTCTTATCCGGTAAGTGAGGACGGTGACTCTTACCACGGTTAGCACTTACCAGATAAATTGTTGTATCCAATGTCATTTTGGTGGACTAAAATCTTATCGGATAAGAAAGTAATAGTGTTGAATTTTACTGGTAAGCATTTATCGGGTAAGTGTTATGTAAACGGCCCCTAATATAAACCAAATGAAATAAAAAAAATACCAGTATATTCCACCGGAACGTGAGGTATTAAAGGGATGAGAGACACACAAACTTGATATCCTCCCAAATAGTGGAGCAACTGTCTCTATAAAAACCTACGACTCGGGAACATTGTGTTATAAAGGAGGACACATTAAATTTGCAGAAAAGAAGCTTATAAGAACCATCTTCTTGTACTTTTTCTTGTCACCGCATTTTCAACTCACCGAAGTAAGAAGTTTATATAAAACTCCACGATGGTAGTTTTTAAAAGAATCCATTTTTATGGGTCCCATGTATAATATACATAGGATTAAATAAAGCTATACATATTAATAATTATATAGAATATAAAAGTCGACAAAATACATATAAAACTAACGAAGTGTCGTTTCACACCAAGTTCAAGGTAAGAACTCCAAGGGGGTGTTTGGGATTGTTTATCATAATAATTTATTGACTTATTCCGGTGTGGTACTACTGGTAATAAGCATTTTTTAGTGTTTGGATAAACAACTTATATCGATGCCAAACCGGTAATAAGGAGTTTTTGAAGAAGTTAAATCCTTCTAACTTATAATAAGTTGATAAGAACTTTTATAGAAAAAAATAGGTTGTTTCAAATAAGCAATCCCAAACACACTTTTTACTTGTAAGAATCTATCATTAGCCATGCTCTTTTAAGAAAAAACATTTGAAAACGGCATTTTTAAATCTTAAAAACGAAGTGGCAAAGACACAAAGAAAAAAAAACATACAAACGAAAACATGTACACTAAAATGTAACCAACATACATGAAAATGTAACGAAGATACGTCGTTTTGAACTTAATTACATAGATAAAAATGTCGACATCATTTGACTAAAAAAAGTCAAAATATACATAAATTAGTTCTGTTATTTGTTATTCCTCACCTAACACTCATCAAGATTGTTAGAGAGTAGCTTTTAAGAAAGTTTCTTTTATGTTCTGTATTTTTTTCCTTTTATTTTATATTTATAGATGTCCGGACCAGCTTGCCATATATAAATTAATCTCATGTGACACTGAACAGACAATGAAAGAAATCTTCAGTTGCTTTGAAGGATTCAAAAGGGTAACCTTTTAGAATTTATGTGGTTTATATGCCGATGTAGTCTTTTCTATTTATTCAATCAACCAAATTGTTGTAATTTTGCTTTTTTTGTTAGTCGTTTTTATATTTCAGGGTTATGTGTTGGCCATTTTGAGCTCCATTTTCAACATTACATTCTTGTCATTTACATTTCAACACTTCAGTTAATGCAATTTACATTCTGTCATTCACGATTCTGAAATTTTCTTTCAGTCACTTACAATTTAGTCCTTACATCTTTGGTAAGAACACCGAGCCACTATGGGCTAATGGCTTTAGCTTGGAGTGTAAGGAAAAGTTAAGATCGAAACCGATATGAAAGTAAAGGTTTCTTCCATTAAAACATTTTCATCTAAAGGTTAATAATGTTTCATTGATGATTACATATGATTAATTGTCAAATAATTGTATGTATGAAAATGTGTTGGCTTTTTGAGCTATGACAAATATGAAAACTTGTTCTGATATGAGATGACTATAAAGAGTTTTAGTATCTGACAGAAATAATGCCAATATGGTGTAGGAAGGTAATACTTTGTCACGCTAGGATTCACAACATTTGACATAAATGAGGTCATACAATGGTAGTGGTCCAGTATGAACTCTGGGCAGGTTGTCAGAACCGACAGTTAGATAACTGTGACAGTACTATAACATGAATATGTGGTACTGTAGGACTCTTCAATGGTGTTATAGCATCTTTTTGTCGGATCATTTGTTTTTGTCTTAACAAACCTTTACACCCTTTGCTTCTTTTACAACTGATTTCTTTCATGGGTAACACATTCACATAAATAATTTCTCCAATTTCGTCATCTGAAATTGGCTTCTAAAGATTAGACTTTTGAAGAACTTTTACAAGTCTTCCCTTTGGATAGACTTTTAACAATATTACCTGTTAAGAGACAACAATAGATCAAGGTGTATACTTGCATTGAGATATGCTTCATGAATTTTGAGGTTGTATAAACATCACAACAAGGTTTTGGCACCGTTGCGAGGGAAGCACATGAAAAGGTTTTCTTTTTTAAAGTAAAGTTTTTTAAAACTAATAAACAAGTAAATTTAAATGTTTCTTTCAATATACTGTGATATCATGTTGTTATAGTAACTTGACGTATGCAAATAGGAAAATTTTGTCATCACAATAGACCCTATAGAGATAAAACCGTTATAACAACGTCGATTGCTGTCATGTAAATATGACTTTCACGCCTTTTGCAGCAACTCATTTCACTGCTAGCATTTTTGTAGTGTTATCACAATGTAATTCTTACTGATATTTTATTCACATATAAAAGTTCATAACTATCCATCTATGATATGTTACTGAGTTATTGTTACAATCATCTTAAAATAAATTACTCTTATTTTTTATTGGACATTAATCGAAATATAATATCATATTAATACAAAGGTAACAACAACATACCATATTAATTTATATAGACGTAACGACATTGTTTCGAGTTTTTGTCCGAACAAAAAATAGAACATTAAATGCTTGTTACAATTCTTGTTCGAATTACAACTAGTCATATTTATGTCGAATATTTCTATCTTGGTTCTTTCTAAGCTTTTCTATAATCTCTTTTAAGTGAAAATTACAATTTTTGTCCAATGGGCTTTGTGTCCCCATCCAAATTCATCCAACTTATCTTGGAAATCATCGAAAGAATCAAGGAAGTTTTGCTTTCTTGTTAGGATCCAAGCGCTTACCACTACGCCAAAATTAATTGCTGGTGGAGAAGGCGCAACTTATTTTCTTATAGCGTAGCAGCCAGTGCCACGTTTCGATTTAGAAAGATGCTGGTCAATGACCCTACAATCCCCCCTTCCCAGCATCTGCCAACACTAACAAGATCTTCGCTAGAAGTCAATGACTGAACAGCATGCCTTTGGCATTATTATGCACTCCATGGGATTCGAACCCCTGACCTTGCTCTGATACCACATGTTAGGATCCAAGCGCTTACCACTACGCCAAAAGCAATTGCTGGTGGAGAAGACGCAACTTATTTCCTTATAGCGTAGCAGCCAGCGCCACG